TTTTCAAAATAGCACCACATTTTACAAAAGTAAATTTTTATGAAGATTGGTCTCTAAGTGAATAGCACCAACTTCAAAGAAAATGTTTCTGCAAGGGCTGTTGCAACATTCTAGTTCTTACACGATCTCCAAGGCTGCAGAGTGACCTACGAGGCAGCCATAATGAGACACAGACAGTGAATAAAGCACTGATTTAATTATGTTGTTTGATATATGATGACCTCATCCACTGCTGTTTATACTACTATAGTGCTTGAAATACTCTATCGACATATGGGAAGGCACAGGCTCCAGCCTGAAGAGCTTACAGCCTCCAAGACAGAAACCAGATGAAGGGTTCTCTTCCTGTAGCTTACAGTAGGTTTCGAAGCTTTGTTCATTTCCATCAGGTCCCAAACGTGCACTGAATGCTGGAAGCAGGTTGCTGAGCCAGTTTGCTGGACAAAGTATCCTCTCCTATGATTACAGAAGAGATTTCTGATGTGTGAAATTCTGTGTTCTCCTGTACAATTACCAATGGCAATAAGCAAACATTGGTGAGAAGGAGGGAAGTTATAGCTCTTTACAACATTTCCACCAAACTACTTGAGTTATGGAGATACCTAATGCCCCTGTGGGAGCTTTGACCACTGTTGCTTTCTGCTACAAAAAAGAAGTGGGGGGAGGAATCAACACAACCTAATAGATCTTCCACCAAGGCAACTCTACTGTAACCAACTCTTTCCAGAAAATTAACTGTCAAGGCTCAGAGTTTGGTTAAAAAAATACATGTTACGTCTTATTTTGCACTCCTGATTAAGATTCCCTGAAAAATATGCAGTAAAGTAACTCTTTATGGTGTTAATGCCATGAAAATCTCCATGAGGAAATGAGTAGTTCTGTATTCAGTGCACCATCTGCCAACCATGCAGTAAATAAAGCCATACAAGAAATGGTGAGAAACAAAACATCAACAACCTACCCACTCATTAAGCATTAGCCATGCTGTGTGCTGAACAATACACAGGCCTTGGGGGGTGGGGGGGAGGGGGGAAGCACGCAATCCTCTAATTAAAGGCAATCAAAATGAATATTTACCAAGGGGATGGATGAGTAGCTTTAAATGTAGAAATTTCTAGCGTCCGACTGCTTGGGTTTGCAAGTTCAGCCCTTGAAGTTTAGCCCTGTTCAGTAACCTAAATGCCTAACTTAAGGCATTATTTATCTTATTTTATTTCTGAAGAGAGGGAGACCCACAAAAGACATGTAGTTGACACACATTTACCCTTATTAAGTACACATACCCCTACAAGGACCATTGCTTTCAAAGTCTCCTGTCACAGAAACCAGACAAAAAGACAGGTTAGTACCATTTCAAATGGTACTCAAAACTTAACCAATGAGAAAACATTTGTCCAGCATAGCTGAAAAATACCTGAGAGACACTAACACTAACATGTTTTCATTTTCTTTTCAAACTCTGGTACAAATTCAGCTAATATCACTTTATATGATCTCATACTGGGATAGAAGCCAAAAGTTTCACTTGAAATCTTTGCAGTTATCAGATCTGGAAAACTTTTCAATCACTTAAGTTTGAAAAACATTTTTAAAAAAAGAAAATCAGAGATAAAACACCAGGGGCTTGAAACATTTATCACTTCATCATACTCTTCCATTTGATGCTAGGTCAGCATCTTTACAGATACAATAAAATGTTTGTTTTACCTATATTTTGAGTTGTTTTGAAAAAATAAAACAAAATTGATGAATAGACAGGATCAGAAACAGACACATGGCTAGGCAATTCATATGGAGACAAGTTCCTTAGCAAACACATTCAGGAGTAAAAAGCTCCCAGGAATCAATAGAAGTTTCCAATACTTGATTCTTGTAGTGGAAAACTGCAAACACACAGCCACCTTGCTTTGGAGTCAGCCTTGCAAGCCCCACCCTGCCAAATAGTGGGAACTGCCATAGTACATATAGGATATATATAGGATAAGTGTGATGCTCCCAGAAAGGTCAGGATTGCTACAGCTGAATCTGCTTTTCCCTTCACTTTTCTATGGCACTGGGGATCCCAGGCCTGCCCATATGACAGCTCTGTCAGCACCACCTCCCTTTTACCACTGCCAGGGGCATGGGGAGCCAGGACAAGCTCCCAAAGCCCTCAGACTGAACCAGACAGAGGTTGAAAGAGGAAGACAATGGGATGTCCAGGCGAAGAGTGTCCTGTTGGAAGCAAACATTATCAACATATTTTAGTGACTGTTAAAATTGCTATCCCAGCTTCATAGGACACCACATAGGGAATGAATGAGGAAAGATGAGGATACTTTTCTGATATATGTAACATCCCCAGTCTCCTCATAATAAAACAAATAATACCACAAACATCTTGCAAGCACAACTGTAGCTGAAGAAAAAGCAGATACAAGGTCAAAATTAATACAACCACAAGCACAGACCAGCCCATACCTTGCCAAGATGATCACCTTTTTGAGAGAATATGCCAATTTACGAGCTATTTGCTCAGCTTCAGACCTGCTCTGGTTTCAGGCAGGAGTCACACCTTGTCAAGAAACAGCCATCCTACCCGCTGCAGGATAAAAGGTACTTATGCAAAGCCCAAATCTTTAAAATGTTCACAGCCATTTTAATCTTACCATCAAGTAGTGAATATTCAGGCCAGAATATGGCTAGACTTCATCAGGACAAACTTCAAAGTAAAGTTTTAAAACATAAGCTTTTTCTAAGTCAGTATATGAAAGATAGGGAAAAAAATAACATCTTTTCAGAAAGAATCTCAAGACACTCAGGGGTGGGTATGTAAGCTGATGGTTACCCCAGGTTGTGCTACCATACGCAGCCCCCTCAAAAAACAGAAAATACAAGAATTACTACCAAAATGTTTCTATTGCTTTCCCACACTTACATTAAAGCATTCTTTGGGCAAGCAAGCAAACATAGTGAGATTTCTTCACTTCCTTGATGAGAAAAATGATTTTTCCTTCTCTCCAAGAAGAGCTGCCATTTACATCATACTGTTAAAAAAGAACCCAAGAAAGCTTGAAATAAATTCTTACCACTGTGTATTTCCTGATGAAGATCCCTGTTCCCCTATTACTTTCCAAAACTTCCCCTCAAAACACTTTTCTCATTATTGCCTGCACATTTCTCACCCCTTTGCTCTTTTCCCTCATTCAGAAAGCTGTGATTTCTAGTCCCCTGAATTTGTCTTCACCTCTCTTTTGTCAGCTGCAGGGGAGACTCCTTAATACTTGGTTTCAAATGCAGCCCACCAAGAAAGATCTCTGGAGGGAAAAAAGTGTTTGGTGTAGATGGTTGAACATAAAAATTCCCACCCACTTCACTTTCCACTGCATCCTTTCATCCTACTCTCTGTTCTGGAGAAGCCACACAAGTTACTATTCCCATCTGTTTTCGTCCTTCACCCACTGAGCTCCAGATGCTTTTGATACACCGACACCCTCTTTGCTCTGCTGCCTACCCTTTTACCCCCTCCAAGTGCTGGGATACTCCTGAACCTCGCTGCAGCCTGCTCCTCTGCAGCATATATTTGCTCCTGCTGCCTATTTCCACTTCAGGCAAAGCCTCAGACATTGTCCCTGACACCTTCAACTGAAAAATATCATTGGCTTTTCTCCCTACACCACCCAAGGCATGTCCTTTGCCTTTAGGGCTATAAGCAGCCTGGCATCATCTTGATTTTGGCCCTCTGAAGCTGAGAGTGCTGTCTAGACATACTTGCTTTAGGTGTTACCTGCTCCCATGTACAAGAGTAAAATACACAGAAGGTCATCCAAAGCTGCTTTGGATGGTGCACCCTCCATTTTCAGCCCTGCACACAATTTAGACATAATGAATATAAGCTAGAGTCAAGAATTACAAGAATGTTTAAACTAATAGAAAAATTCTGCTGTCACTCTGCCAGTTTTAGGGTTCATTTTTACCAGCTCTTAAATATTTCTTGTATCACAGCTTGTCTGGTCAGCAACACCTGCAATTGAAAACTTGTCCTCTTTGCACTGCTCTGCACTGGTACGTTCACAGGACCACGTACATGGTCTTGCATGTATTGGTGCAGAAGTGAGAAACCTCTGCCAAAAGCCAGGGCTTAAAGACCATGTGCTTTTCTAACAGGACTTGTATCTTTTCACTTTGAACAGGTTGTTCTAAGAAGCGCAAATCTTATTCACTGGTCAGTATCTGAAGGTGACATATGTGAAATACTCACTAAGTTAAAAGCAATTAGAATGTCAAGATTCCACAGAAAATTCCACAGAAAGGTCATGTGCCCTCTTCTAATGATGGCTCCACATATCTACAGGCAAGACAGAGAAAGACAACCCAAAGTGAAGTCCCATTTATCCTCCCACAGGGTTTGGCCTTGGAGTTTCTTTCCTCCCCTTTATGAGCAGCGATATAGCAAGGGAGGGAGGCAGGAAGACACACAGGCTGGATTTGCAACCACTGGAACTAACTAACTAACTAACTAATACCAGCTGCACTCCAACAGGCTTCAGGAGCAGCCCAAGTGTGACATGGACATTTCTGCTGCTGTTTCTCACCTGTCTGTTTCACTAACAAATACATGCAGGGGCCTAATAAAGCTCAACCATGCACTTTTCTCCAGTAGCAGCCCCTCGCAGAATCAGTTCAAGAAAGGCAAAATTAATTTTGTCAGTTCAGCTTTCTTTGACATTGGGCTAAAAGCTTTCAAATACAGAACTTTTACATCAGAGAGCTGGTGGGGGTGGGAGGGGTGAGACTCACTACAGAAAGCTCACACTATTTTTTTAATGGAAACCCTCATATTACTAAACAAGAACAGCAGATTCTGAAGGCTGATGTTTGTAATTAGGAGGTGTATCTGTATTATCTGAAATTTCTTCCATTCTTACATACAGCCATCTGAATTATATCTTCCTGTTTTGACTAAAGACCTTCTGAAGTAAGGACTGAGTTAATTATAAATTATTTCATAATATACTCACCCATCTTTCCCGGAGCAGGAAGAAGGGGAGTTCAGAATCCTCCATTTAGTTCTTTCAATCCCATTCACACTTATTTCAGAAGTGCAAATCCTCATGTTTCTCTGTGACTCAAGCCTGAAATAAAGAAAAACAGGACAAAAGCACTTAGTAACTTTATGTTATACACTGATGAAAAAAAATCAATTATAAAAATAGGTGCTTTAAAACTATTTGTTCATACTATATTACGTCTTATGGATACTCAAGTCAAAGACATTGCTCTAATTCAAGGTTAAATGAGTGTAAGATGACAGAAAACACAATGCTTTTACACAGCTACACAGTCTTGTATTTCAGGGTTTTTCCTGTTAAGTTACAATAAATCCCATTTAGGCACTACAAGTTCTCCAGTCGCTGGACGAAGTTCAAAATTTCATTCAGGATGCTTCCTCATTAAAACTTCTTTTAAACAGGAACATAACCTGGAATGTGCTTTTAAAACACAGCCTTGAGAAATAAAATTTATTGAACATTCCTGCTACGAAAAGGAAGCTGAATAGTGTTAGCAGAAGATAAATCCACTCTCAGATGCATATCTTCCTGTTCTCTGCATTCACTAGCTTCCAGTGTTCATCTACTTATTTTCCAAACCATGTTCCTGAAACACTCCCAGCACACCTTCACATTGTGCCCTCTGCTACTCCCCACACACAGACATTGCTGCCCATCTTGGAAATGTGGGCTACAGCAGGATGGAGATTCCAACAGCCAAGAGGCAAGACCAAGACTTAAACCCTCCTAAGTAAACAGTAATAAAATATTCAACATGGTAGCTAAAATTAGGTACAAAACCCTCCATATTTGTACATCACTCATGCAAGTACAGTTCATGAAAATGTGTTCTCCTTCCATTTATTTCTTATTCCTACATTTATTATTCATTTTTATGCAGTATTATTATACATTATACAGTTTTCTCAATTACATCGTTTGCATGTGTGTGTGCATTTGTACAACCTTGAAAGAAAATCAACATAAGCAGGCATTCCAGTCGGAAGTCAGGAAGTTTTAAAGCACAAGTCTGTAACACTGAACCATAAAGCATGAGCTGAAGACACTAAGGCCTAGCAAATTTGTGGAATCCAGGCATTCAAGCCTGTGAACAACATTAGAGATTCTCCCAATGCTAAGAAAGTCAAACGAAAGCTGACTTTTGAAAAACATTCTGAAAATCCTGAGAATGATAAAAGAAAGAACACTTTGTAAGAGATAAACTTTTGTTATATCCAGAAGTGTACCTTCACTTTTTTAATAGTATTTCTTCCTCACGTGATGGAAACAAGTCCAGAATAACTACACAGAGCTCAGAGAGCTTTGTCTTTGCAGACTTCTGGTGGTTCAATTTATACCTGGACCAGACACAGGATCTACAATCACAAATTACAAGCTTCTCTAATTCTATGTGATTAAACATAATTTGCTGCATTCAGTTACCTTGCTCAGGAATGTACAGTGCATTAAACTAGTAATGGAGAAAAGATCACTGAACTTCATAATTGGAAAGTCCTACCTCCAAAACGCACAGCCTCATATTTTCTAACTTAAATAACTAATACTGCAAAAACAAAAGACATTCTTGGAAGCCCCTGAGGGGGGGAAATCACACCAGTTTGGACCCCTCTGGCAGTGACAGAGAAGATGAAAATACTAATTTGATTGAATTCAATTGAATGTAGCATCATAAAAAATCATTGCTCACATCCTTAACCTTAGCAACTGGATCTTTTTTGAGGACCATGGTGAAGTCATGAGCTTCCCCAGCTCAATTAGGCAGACTCATTATTAGATGAATTACATATGAAGCCAAGTATGGTCTGTAAATGTTCATGACTCACTCCTCATGTACTTTGTGTTGACTGCAAAGAACATTTCAAAGCCCAGCTGTCACCAATATCTATGATAACTTCTTCAAACACAGAGACACACACCTTGAAATCTGCTGACAGCTGGAGTGAACAAAGAAAGCCAGAAGTTTCAGATAGCTCTGGAAAAAAACACTTGAAATGTATGCTTTGTTGCTCAAGAGGTTAAAAAAAAAAAAAAAAAACAAAAAAAAACTATGGGCTTCAAAACAGAGATGAATTCTTTAACGAGCAGACTTTGAGGTTAATTTTCAAGCTTGGGTGCGCTGAAACCAAAGGGCATCTGGATTTCTTGAACTGGCCCTTAATTTTAACAGCATGCTTCAGGTATTTGCCTCATTTTTGGGCAACCAAACATGTAGATGCAAATCAACCGTATTATATTCCCTTTATCATAATCTCTGCAAAAGAACTTTGTTATTTTAAACATATTCAAAACAATACCATCTTTATTGAAGATTGAAGATGGCCAGATAGAATGTTCACTTTTATTTTTTTATGCAGCCATGTGACTGTATTTCATGAAGAGATACCTGAATAATTAAATCAAGACACATGGCTGAGACACTGAAGAGTAAATTGCCTTCTCTAAGTTATACTATCCAAGAAACCAATAGTATGTGTCTTTCAATACTTTTATCTCTAAGGGAAAATCTTTAGAATACTCACAGAAGCTCAAGCCTTGTTTCAAAAGCCTGCCAAAGTCATCTGAAACACATTTGCCAAATACACAGCAAAGAAAAACACAGGGCCTTCCTAGTATTTGGGAAAACATGAGGGAAGAGAGGAGGAGTCAAACTAATCAAATAAAACCCAAGGGAATAAATCGGGCCACTTAAATACAAATGTCCAGACATCTTCCCACACAGAATCTTCCTACAAAATGCTCACCCAAGACCATGTGTGCATACATTTGGGTGTGCACCTGGGAAAGCATGGGATCAAGCCCTGCCCGAACTGAGCCAGCTACCGATCACACCATTAGCCAGGCAAGGGATGAAATTCCTCTTTTCCCCTGTTTTTAATGCAAAGAAATCATAGAAAGTAAGGATCCTGCCCACCTCAGGCCTGCAGCTGACAGGCAGCCTTCTGTTAGGGTTATGTGGAATGACTTCAGACATGATGGAGACGGGAGTGCCTGCACAAGGGAACCTCCACCACGGCCCCTCTGCCTTGGCATCACTTTTGCCAGGGACCTGTGTTCACTCCCTGGGCACACAGGGCTGCACAGGAAAGGTCAGTCAGGGCCAGGCACATGCCAGGGTGTACAGAATCGGTCCATATGCCCAAAAAGAAGCAGCTTTAGATGGAGAAAGTCAGCAGATGCCAATTGCTTTTTAACACAACACTTGCAGAAACACCCACATGTACACACACACACACACACATGGGGAGCAGGGGTAGGGGGGTTGCAGAGCACCATCTCTGCTTTAAAAACACTGTGAACTAGAGTAAGTCAAAGATCAACTGATTGTGAGGTTTTCCTGGAAATGTAAATATACTTCTAAAAAAATCTTGATGTTCTTCCCTCATTCAAAAAGCACTGTGCCTGCCCCACAACCAGACGGTTTCCCAAAAGATTACTTTCCCAATCATCACTACCACTAATGATCTTTTGAATGCTGTTTTAACAGGTAAAATCATATCCCTTAGTCAACAACACAAAGTTGATATGACCTAGAGTTTGGCTGCATTTCTTCCAAGGATCTTATCAGAGAAGTGGCAAATTGAGCCTCAGAACTTTAGAAAAATAAGGAATACTTGCTTACAGTTATTTCAAGTCTGTCCAATGAAGCATGACTTGATTTTGTGGGGGCAGGGAGGGAGGTTTTGGGGCTTGTTTTCTTAATCAAGACCGTAAATAATGTGACTCACAGGGACCTCAGGAGAGAAGATAGTCTGAATCCCCTGTCTCAGCACACCATGAAGAAACAAAACAGCATAGAAGGCAAACCCTACAAATCTGGGTGACATCAATACAAAGCCCACAAATGCCATGACAGACACCCCCTGTGCCCTATTTCATACTTTGACCCCTATCATCCTCACTGGTATGGAACAGGAGCAGGAACGCCAGCAGCAGGAATCCCTTCATCCCCTATTACAGAGAAAAATCAGCATCAAGATAACCTTGTTACGCCACCTCCCATAAGAGCAAGGAATCCCACACAGAATGTGCTGTGTTGGAAGGGACCCACAAGGATCATTGAGTCAGACTCCTGCCCCTGCACAGCACCATCCCAAAGAGTTGCAGCACGTGCCAAGGGCATTGCCCAATCTTTGTCAGGCTTGGTGCTGTGGGCACTCCCCTGGCCTGTTGCTATGCCCTTGGCTCAGAGAGCCCAGGGGTCAGGATGAATGAGATGGCCCAAGGGCATGCAAGGATATGGCTGTGCAGAGGCTGCCCCAGGCAAAGTGCCAGGAAAGCAGGGCTGCAAGAAACTCCTCTCCTGGGCCGCAGCTGGGGGACCTAGTTGAGGTCACAGGGCAAAGGCAAAGTTCAGGGTAGCGATAAAGCCAGGTCGAGAGAAAAATAAAGTGTGGGAGCTCAAGTGAGTCAGGGCTGCAGGACCTCTCTCCCATTGAACTCATCTGCACGCCGGTGAGATGAAAGCTGTAATTTGCCCCTCACAGCTGCCACTGTAGGTTGCAAATGCCTTCAGGCAGACATCATAAACTTCATTACACCTGCCTAGCCTCAGGTTTTTAGTATAGCATCCCAAAACATTGCGTCCTCCTGCTCCACACCTCACTTTCAAAGGGGAAAATACATACATACATACATATATAACTTCCAGAAATGCATTCCTGAAGACATGCTGTACCCTAATCAAGCCTTTCAAAGCACAGGGTCCACAGCTGCTGAGAGAGCTGAGGCAGGTACCCAGAGGCCCTGTCTGCCAGCACCTGTGTGTGAAACCCAGCCCTGAGACCATCCCACTGAGGCTCTCTCCCCATCCACTCAGAGGCCTCTACATCCCCTGGCCAGCATTGCTCTGTCCTACTTACTCAGCTCCGCTGCTACAAGAAGAGCTCTGTTTCTTCAGGGCTTCTCCATGGGAAGCTTAAGGCTGAAAGGAAGGCATGCATGCCCAGCTGCTCACTATTTTTAAGTTGGCCTGTTATGCAGTTGTTATAAGGGCATACGTTGCATTATCTGACGCTGCACTTCTGGTCACAGTCCTGAACTGCCAATCCAACCTCTTTGGCTGG